ATGATTGTGTTCAAAATGAGGGTTCGAAACCTGAAAAAAATAAAACAATTGGTTCCTTATTTTTAAAAGATCAAAACAATAATCAAAAGTTACGCAGGGTTGCTTCTGCTCCCAATACTAAAGCTTTGAACGATGCCAATCTTGGAAATTCGCAATATCAATTTTACGGAAATTCCAACGAGAATAATAACGTAAAATTGTCTGTTCCAGTTAGGCCTGTATCTGAAATAAAACGGTCTGGGACTTTCAAACGAACTTATTCGTCAAATTCGATCAAGATCAAGAGGGTTGAAGTCGGTCCTAGTAGTTTCCAGAAGATTAAATTATTGGGAAAGGGTGATGTTGGAAAAGTGTACTTAGTAAGAGAGAAAAAGACAGGCAAACTTTATGCAATGAAAGGTATTCTAGTAAAAAAAAAAAAAAAAAAATGTATTTAAATTTTTTAAAATAGTTTCTCTCATAAGATTCATAAGATTCGAGTCAAATCTTACATTTTCATATTTAGTATTTTAGTAAATTCCTACCTAATACCATAATTAACATTATTTATATATATATATTTATTTATTTTTTTTTTTATATTTTATATTTTCATAAAGTTTTATCAAAAAAGGAAATGATCAAGCGAAACAAAATCAAACGTGCGCTTGCTGAACAGGTTAGTTAAATGATAGTTTGTTAAATTTAAATAATAGATAAATTTATCACAAGTACATATTAATTGTATAGGAAATTCTGGCTACATCAAATCATCCATTTATTGTCACACTATATCATTCTTTCCAAAGTGTAGACTATTTATATTTATGCATGGAATACTGCATGGGAGGAGAATTCTTTCGTGGTTGGTGCTTATTATAATCATCTGAACCATATTCAAGCTAAAAATATATATTTTTTAATTTAAATTTATATAATATTTAGCATTGCAAACACGGCCAGGGAAATGCTTACCGGAAGAAGATGCAAAGTTTTATGCTGCTGAAGTAATTGCTGCATTAGAATATTTGCACTTAATGGGTTTTATTTATCGTGATTTGAAACCTGAAAGTAAGTACCGTTTTTGGTAGCGTATCCACGACTAATGATATTAATACAGTACTAATTTTTTTATTACCAATTTTTTTTATAATTCATTGTATATTAATAGATATATTACTGCATCAATCAGGGCATATCATGTTATCAGGTTACTATAATGTAATGATATCATCCTTTGCATGTGAAATATGTGTTGAATAATATTTACATTTCATTTATGGAATAAAAACTACAGATTTTGATCTTTCAAAACAATCCCATCCAGCAAATATGCCGGGAATTGTTAAAAATAGCTCTGGAAATTCTGTGAGTAATAAATGGTAATTATTAAAAATAAATATAATTGCATTATATTAATACATATAATTTTATTTTATAAAGCCGCCAACAATAGATACAAAATCATGTATTGCTCATCTTCGAACAAATTCTTTTGTTGGAACTGAGGGTATTTAAGAATTAATAATTGTATTTCCTCTTCATACATAATAATTCTCAACTCATTAAATGTCAATATTCTTTTTGTTAATAATGATATTTTGTCCAGAGTACATTGCTCCAGAAGGTAATAAGTCATCATTGACTCATTTTGTTTGTTGAATTATTTTGCATTTGTTTCAAAATATTTTAAATAGAATATTTACATATTTGATTTATTAGTGATTAAAGGCTGTGGGCACACAAGTGCTGTTGACTGGTGGACACTTGGGATCCTAATATACGAAATGCTGGTGATTATGTAGACAAACTTATATTTTATATTAAATATATGTGTTTGTCTCTAAAATATTTATATTCATTGATTTTTATAGTACGGATTCACTCCTTTTAAAGGTCAGAATCGAAATGCTACTTTTTCTAATATATTGAAAAATGATGTATGTTTTCCGGAAACAGGGGGGGCACAAACGGTAACAAGGTAGTTACAATTGTTATAATAGCATACAATTATTAGCTAACATTAATTAAAAAACATCATCAATTTTACCTTGTTATTGATTAGTCTTTGTAAAGGATTAATCCGTAAATTGCTGTGTAAGGATGAAAATCGACGACTTGGATCTAAAGCTGGTGCATCTGATGTTAAAGCACATCCTTTCTTTAAGAGCACGCAATGGGCTTTACTGAGGCATGCAACTCCGCCAATTGTACCTCAACAAAGTTTCGGTACTGATGCTATAAACTTCCGGAATATTCAAGAAAGCGTTAGTTTAGATATGGAAGGGGAGAAAGTCGTGGTTAATGTTAGTGGTGATAATCCTTTTGAAGAATTTAATAGTGGTAATTATTAGCTTTATTTATTATTATTTATTATTTAATTATTATTTATGGTTTATTTATTCATTCATTTTTTTCATAAAAATTTATCTGATTTTATATTTTATTTTCTTTTAGTAACACTGCATCATGATGGTGATGATGATTATATATAAACCTTTATTATCCGAAATGAACGAGGATCTTAATACTAGGCATTGTAAATGCAGGATCATGCAATGTCCAGAAAAATGAAATTTTGTGTTGTGTAGGTTCATATAATGAGCTACAGTATGTTAAACACAAGCTAAACATAAACCGTAAAGAAATAAATGTTTATATAAACAATAAAGAAAAATGTTGGCAATTCAAAAAAAATTTTCAGCACTATATTTATACTAAATCAAGAAGTCTGTTAAATTAAGATAAATACAAATTTAAAGACAGTCACCGATTTAAACCCCCAACACTTTTGATCAATCTTTTATTTAAATATTATTATTATTAGAGAAATTAGATGGGTACATTTAACAATTAGTTAAAAATTGGTTTTGTTTCAAATTTAGAATTTAAGATGTAAGCACTAAAATTTATTAAATCATGTAAAATTGAAACATTACGTGAGAACAAATTTTTAATATTTAATATAACGATAAAGTGAATTATAAATGAGCTTCATTGGCTAATTATAGGTTATGTCCTTGTGAGCTGGAAATAGCAAATGCATAAAATCGATAATTATATAAGTTGCTTTTGCATAATTGGTTCGGTTTACTAATCATTTAAATAAAAGATCTGATAGAAACTTAAATCGATGGAAGGTTCATATAATGTTTTACCAAATGCATGGGATATTGAAGATAAATCACCATTTATTAGCATAGACTCAAATGGATTTAAAGTGAATTATACGGATGAGATGAAAAAGAGAATAGATTGAGCAATATCTCAATTTAATGAATGTTAATCGTTGGTAATTTAATTAAAGGTCTTGATGATAAAGCTGTTATAGTTCGAGCAAATTATTCAATTCTTTCACAATGTGAGGTATTTTATTTTGAAATTAAAATCATTGATAAAGGAAAAGATGGGTAACATTAATAATTATTTCATGCTTGCAATTTTACAATTATTAATATATAGAATGATTGGAGTCGGTTATTGCGATAAAAAATAGGTTATTCAAATATGAAGTCAGATTATATAAATAACATGTCCATGCTTGGTAATACAGATTTTTTTATAACATAAAATCCCTTAGGCCAGAAATATAAAGATAATAAGGATAACAAAGAAAATGAATCGTGGGAGTGTGGCTACCATGGTGATGATGGATATTTTTTTGTCCTAGAAATATCGAATCATACGGACCACCATATACTACTGGTAATACAGCTGGATGCTATTTAAATTTTAAGAATAAAGATGGTATATATTTTGTACTAAAAATGGTGTCAACCTAGGTAATTAAAACTTTAGAAATTACGATTTATATTTTTGAAGCAATTAGGTGGTAAATTTAATCTTTATAACACATTTTAAAGGAATTGCATACAATCTTTATAACACATTTTAAAGGAATTGCATGCTATCTACCTGACAAATTTAAAGGCACTCTATATCCTTGCGTTGGATTTAGATCGCAAGACGGGTTGATAGAAGTGAACTTTGGCCATGAAAAATTTAAATCTATTAGATTTTTATTAAATTTAGCAAATTGTGATATCGCGAGTTAATATATATTTAAAAAAAAAAATATTATTATTATTATTAGTTAGGGTTAGAGTTCGAGCTAATATTAGGATTAGAGTTAGAAGGCATATACATATGCAAAATTAAGTGTTGAAACTTTTAATTAGAAGACCAAGACTAGTTTACATAATGAAATTTCGAGATATTTAATTTTTCGTACACAAGATCCTGTAATCTAATTGGTCGATCATATTTAACCTGCGATATACGTACGGTGCAAAGAAATAATATTGATGATTATGGTGCACTATAAAATAATCAATACACATACATTCCAGAACAAATAGTAATTTCTAGAATATATATGTCGTGTATCAGATTCAAAGCTAGCATCTTAAAATTTGTCGTTGAGTGGAAGTAATCGAATTCATTAAATAATTATTGCAATTAGAGTATTTACTGCAAAACTATTCCGGCCTATTCAAAACTAATTACGATATGAGCTTCAACGCAAGCCAAAATATTTCGGTCACATGTATAATACAGTATGAACAACGTCCAAGGAAAACTAGACTTTGGTCTCGGCTTTTAAATCTAAGACTTACTCTAAAAAATCCAAAGAATTTAGTCCGGCATGTTATAAATTTAAGAGTCCAGAGTTTTTGTTTTTCTTAGCATCACCTATATAAATCATTAATTTAGTTTAACGCAAACCTTCTGTTTTGATATCTATTCCAATTTTATGCACAACATATACAAAAGTAATTACGTATCCAATTTCAATTTTTCATAAACTTGAATCGCTTACTTAAAACTTAGAATTTTTAAAAAATTTACAAAGCGATTGATGTCAATATTTATTTTACATATGTATTTATTTTTTATTAAATTGTTTTTATTGATTTGATATGTACATAATGACCAAATTTTAAATCAACTTATTAAGTGGAACTTTCGCTAAAATGAGATTCTACTTGAACAGTCGCATTCTGGTTGGACGAAATTAATTGTAATTAATTTTTTTCAAACGTTTAATGAATATATCTCGGCAACTAACTATCTAAAATTAATAATTTTTTTTATTTAATTATATATTCACACATATAGAATCATAAAAAAAAAATTGCATCAATTTTAGATAGGTGGTGGTTGAGATATCTTCGGAAAAACTGTCAACTTCTGCTTTGATAG